AGCCACTTGCAGGATTACAGCATCCACATAAAAGTCAGGCAAGTATGTGGCCCATACCAGCTCTCAGGAAGCAGAGACTGGGATCCCTGAAAAAAGTTAGTCAGTCAAATCAGGAAGCTCTGAAGTCAAGATATAAAGCAGAGAGTCATCTAACTTAGACACACTCCCAGACATACACACACACACACAGAGACACTTGTATGTACTCTTTCACAGAAATAAAGTGTTTGTTTTTAGGGGCTGGAGAGATGGTTCAGCACTTTAAGGGAACGGCTCTTCCAAAGGACTGGAATTCTATTCTCCACACCCACATGGTAGCTCACAACCATCTATAACTCCAGTCCAAGAGGATCCAAAGCCCTCTTCCGGCTTCTATGGGCATGGGCACTGCACACACATGGTCCACAGACAACACTGCAGATCAAAACACCCACACACATAAATAAATAAATAAAAGGGGAAAGGAAGCTGGGAGACAGCTCAGTGACACAGTACTTGCCCGGCACACATAAGGCCCTGGGTTCTCTCCCAGTACCACAAAATTTAAAAAGCGTTTTCATTAGAATCAATTTTACCACAAAGAGACAAAGAATTCTTTTGATTGAATGGTGCCTCCAGTCACCGTCGTTCTTGAAATGTCTGAACTGTGGAGCCAGAAATAATGACACCACCTTCATTATAATGCCATCTTCAAAGAGGTAGAGTTTTTCAAAACTCTTTCACTCAAATCTAAACTTGTACAATCATTTAAGAGGAAGAAATAAGGAAATAAAGGTGTGGACAGGACAGGGTGAGGGGCAAGAACCACGAAGTAGGCACTACCTCTGCTCCCTATTTGACAAAGCACTGAGTTAGCCAACCGGGATAACTGTCAACTGCTCCCTGAACTGCGGCAGGCCCAAAGAGCATCCACAGCAACCGTGCGGTGGGCAGGCTTCCGCGCGTCTCTAGTTTCTCTGAAGCAAGGTCTCACTGTGAAGGCCAGGCTACCCTTAAACTCACAGCGCTGGTGTCACAGCCATGTGCTACCAGTGGTGTCGTTCAAATCTTGACTTTAACATAGATAAACAGATTAACTTAAACACACACACACAGATAAATACATAGGCACCAAACTTCTACGGGGATTTCCTTATCAGTAAGATGGGTCCTTACGGTTCCAAAGTTTCAGGTAACTCCAAAAACACTTTTGATAACAAAATAAAGAAAATTCAAATATGTGTATGTGTAAAGGTCAGCATATCATTTTCATTAGAGATAGCTGAGGAAAACGTAGGCCACTGTATACATGTGCACAGGACCACATACTAACTACTGTTGCTTTCTACAAAAAAATAACTCCAAGGACATAACTATAACAAAAGACGCAAAACAGAAACTTTCTCTCCATTTTCTGTAACAGTTTTCCAGTAGTCAGCCCTCCCATGTAGTACACACACCATGTAGTACACACACCATGTAGTACACACACGAATATTTATTCAGGCAAAACACTAACACATACGTTCAAAAATACATCTTAAAAACAAGAAGAATATTAACAAACTCTGATTACAATGAATATTGTACTCACACAAGCCTGCGTTAGTCAGGGAAATGCTATAGAAAATTAAGTCCATATCTATTCTTTAGCATTTATGTACAGTTCATTTGGGTTTATTCTGGGTTTTCCTAAAATAATGCCTTAAAAAAAATCCTAGAAAGGAAATTCTTCCTGTATGTTCTTTCTATTCTGTAAATTACTTCCCACAAGTTGGTAAGAACATAAGGCAAAAAAATCAGCCGATCTGCTGTGAGGAGAGCAAGCGTCAGTCAAGCACCTCCCAGTCCCTGCAAAGCCCAAGAACACACACTCCTCATTTCTGCACTTCCTCTACTCTCGCTGCTCTTTTCCAGAGAGACAGAGGCCTACAAAGGGAACCCTTGCTAGACCCTGACCCCTCATTGTGTTAACAGGACTCACATTAACAGCTAAAATGGTTGAAGACATAAGGAACAGTATGTGCTGCGTGTACATATACATGAAATACTGCTCAACCTTAAAAAAGAGCAAAATACACAAAGATGCCACAACATGCATGAATCAACATCATACTAAGTGAAATAAAGCAGTCACAAAAGGGCAGATACTGACCCTCACAGAGGCACAGAGAGGAACGGAAGTTGCGAGGGGCTGACAGGGAAAAGGGCACAGAGAACATGAAAAGACAGTAGGTGGATGGCTGTGATACACACACAATGGAAATGTATTTCCTGCCACTGAACTGAAACTTTAAAAATAGTTAATGAGCTGGGCCTGGTAGTGCACACTTTTAATCCCAACGGTGGTTAATGGAACACCTATGTCTATTTTAATTGTGCATGCTCAAAAAGGGAGGGAACAAGAAAATAAAATATGTGTCAATATTTTTCTCACACATGCCTCTTACATCTTTTCCTGAATGCTGTTAATGTCCTACATGAGTCTTAAGGAATAAATATGTACTGATTCAGCTATTAAATTCCATCTAAACCTAAAACGTTTAATCTGGCCTGGCTGGAAATGAAGTTCTTCCCCGATATAGATGTCAACAGCTATCCCATGTCTACTGCAGACTAAATTAGTTATGAATCCAGTATGTCTCCCGACCTCTCGACTTAGTCCCTAGGGTTTTCCTTCATATTTTTTTCTATAATCTCATATAATCTATTCTCATCTTTCCTAACAATATCTTAAGTCAAAAATCTAGCCAGGCATGGAGACAAATCCTAGGGAGGCAGAGGCAAACAGAGTTTCAGGCCAGCTACATAGTCGGACGCTGTCTCAAAAACAAATAAAATAAAAAGGTATTCTCTCCCTTGAAACTTCCCAGAGCACATCCTCACTACCTGGCAGACAGACCATACTTTTTCCTTTCTTTTGTCAGTACTGTAGCTCAATCCAAACTCTCAGGAACGCTAGGCAATGCTGCTGGGGTTAAAGGTGTGTGCCACCACTGCCTGGCCTGGATGGCTGACTAGTGTGGTTGCTTTGCACTGACCTTCAGGCAAGCTTTATTTATTAAAACACATATAATATACCACTAAACAAGTGTCCTACCACTAACACCGTCCCTAACTCCATACATCATCTTTCCAGAACTCACCACTCACACAGTTTCAACCAATACAAGTAACACTGGGATCTTCTTTATGAATTGCCACCTCTTGAGAAAAAGTGTTCCCAAAACATACAGATGTACATGCCTTTGATCCCAAAACTAGGGAGGCAGAGGCAGGCAGAAAAGGAAGAAAGAAAGAGTTCCCATAGGAAGACCAGACACCTGAAATACCCTCAGCTAAACCTGAGGATCACATCAGCTGTTCTAACAAAACCTTCTGATTCTACACACCGCTGCAGAAATAAGAATGCATTTTGGCCAGGAGTAATGATGGTACACATATGCAATCCCAGCACTCAAGGAACAAGAAGATCATCACCAAGTTCAGGAATAGACTGGTCTACACTGTGAGTTCCAGGCCAGCCAGGGCTACATAACAAGACTCTGCCTCAAAAACCAGAGAAAAAAAGGAAGAAAAGGAAGAGAAAGAGAGGGAGGGAGGGATAAGAGAAGGAACGGAGGGGAGGAGGGGAGGAAGGAAGGAGGTAAAGAAGGAAGGGATGAATGTAGATTAATAAACTAGTAAACCAAGTTGTCTGGTTTCCTCTGACTACTGAAGTCCACTATATCTTTCACATCCCCTTCTTCCTCATCCTTAAATACTTAAGATAAAATTTTACCTTCAAAGATAGATTCTGATGTTTCTACATACACCAGGTATAGATCTGATTCATTTCAAATAACTCCTATTCACAAACATGAAGCAAACAGATAAAAATTAAAATGGACAGAGTGACTATCACATACCAAAACAAAAAATGAAAGGTATATAAGTCAGAAAGAAAGTTCAGCGCTCCCATCAAAACCTCCCTCTTATGTACTACTGTATATACGACACCTCTAATCCAGCATGTGGGGAGTAAAGGCTGGGGACCAGAAGCTCAAAGCCAATTTCAAGGTTCAAGACCACAGAGTTCAATGCCGACCCTGGCTACATAAAACCTTGTCTCCAAAAACTGAAAATTCTTGTTCTTAATATACCGTGAAAATTAAAATATCGTGCAAGTATGATCACTAAATACTCGTATTGTGTGAAAATGCAAATGCAAGCCGGGCAGTTGTGGTCCACGCCTTTAATCCCAGCACTGGGGGGAGAGGGAAGGGGCCAGAGGCAGGCAAATCTTTGTGAGTTCGAGGCCAACCTGGTCTACAAGAGCTAGTTGCAGGACAGGCTCCAAAGCTACAGAGAAACCCTGTCTCGAAAACTAAAAATAATTAATGAATTAATTAAAAAAACTTAAATGCATGTTATTAGCTATAAGTTCTACTTCCTGGGTCTTTAAAATTCAATATTTTCAAACTCCATTTCTTTTCATGCAAATTAGTAGTACTACTTCTTTTAATGGGGTCTACTTTCCACCAAAACAGAGCAATTAATAAATATCAATAAGTAAATCAAGAATTTAAAAACATAGATGAGGTTAATGAGACAGTTAAGCAGATAAAGGTGCTTGCTGTCAAATGGAACCACTTGAGTTCAATCCCTAAAACCCACATGGTGGAAAGAGAGAACCAACTCCCACAAACTGTCCTCTGATCTCCACGTGTGCATAATATGCAAGTACACACACATACACACACACACACACACACAATGTTGGGAGGAAAAAAAAAACCAGACATTTCTACAATTTAGTTTTCCAGCTTATCAACTGGAGAAATTCACCTAAAGAATGGTAAGTCTCTTTGGATGAGCCCTTTAAAAAGGAAGAGCAGGTAGCCTTAATCCCACCCCAGGAACTGTGGGCCTGAAACCCGTTAACCCTCCAAGCTACACACCTGAGGTTAACAGATAGGAACTGCTCTGCAGACACTGACCAAGGAGCAGAGTGTGGACTGTCACCTGCTCAGGGGCCTTACCTTTCAGCAGCGGCAGAGGTGTGAGCTCAATGGGCTTGCCTTGAGATCTAAACTGTGAGGAACTCTGCGACCTCTTCTGTCTGGCTTTTCTGACGGACTTCCGAGAAAATCCGTCTACTTTATCCACTGATGGAGGAGTAGTTGGTGCTGAGGACATATCCCTACTGAAGAGAAAGAACTGACATGAACATGGTCCCAAGGTCAGGGTATTTGTGTTGTACACGTTTTAAAATTTCCATATACAATATTCATGAAAATGAGAATATATACCAAAAAAAAATCAATTAAGAAAAGTCTTGTCAAGGAGAAAAATATAAAAAGTAGCATGACTGCCCTTAAACAAAATCAGGGCTCTAATGCATCACTGCTCCATTATAATAATTAAAAAGATGTTAGCCGGACTTCAAGTGTCTGTATTGTCCGCCCACTTTAACTGCACAGTTCTTCCCATCTTGGGATTCCTGAAGTGATTTTGGAGCTATCTGAAAGCTGGAAAACATCCACTGAAACATTTTCTCAACATATTTAATATTATGAATGGGCTAAAACCCTTTCTGCATTTCAAGAATCTACACAAATGAAGCGAGGTACGGTAGTGAGTAATTCCAACACCCAAAGAGATTAAGGCAGGAAGGGTTATGAGTTCAAGACCAGCCTAGGCTACACATAGCAAGTTTGAGGCCAACCTGGGACACACAGTGTGAGAGGAAATTTTCTCTCAAAAAAAAAAAAAAGAAAGAAAGAAAAAAATCTGACAGTATCTGACAGCAAGGTGAAATGCACAATTAGAGACACTGCCTAAACAGGACTTCGGTACAGTGTGCTGTGATTGCTATTATGAGCTACCACACTGCAAATGAGGACAGGCTACTTTACTTGAAAGAGAACACACAAGAGGCGTAATTAAAACTATTTCAAAGAAGTCTTTTTAAATGAAGCCATCTTAAGTTATTCAAGTTTAATAAAGAAAACTATGATAAAACCCAGCACCAAGTTGAACGGAAAACATAACTTCACAGCCTTCCAAGATGAAGCTGAGCTCAAGTTCAAATACTGTTCCATTCCATCAAACCGAAGGAACTCCCAGAACAGCTTTCTGCAATCTTTTTTAATCTTCTGAAATTATTCAAAAGGATAGATGCTAAAAGTCCCAAGCATTAAGCTCAGCTTCATCCACCAAACTAAGCAGATGTCATCATCCAGGTGGCACTGAGGCGCCATGAAAGATTAATGGCAGACGGGGTAGACAGAATGCACAGACTCAAGTGCTAAAACGCAATCACTCAACTGTCACACCAACACCTAAGACAAGTGTCTTTCTAACTTCCAAAGAGTAAGATCCCAAACAGTCATGTGGATTACCTGGATCCAATAAAAACAACATAAACCTGGAGGAGAGGGGTGCAATGTTAAGGTTTCGTTTGGAATTTTGAAGACTTCTTAGCTTTTTTTCATTAGAAAGTTACTTTGCTATCTAATTTGAGCTTAAATACAACGTGACAGGTTAAAAAAAATGGAACTGTAAATTATAAATACTGCCGAAAATGTCAGATTACTTTCAAATATAATGATCACCATCAGCAAGAAGTCCCACATCACACTGCTACAGTTGTAAATTTAGGGGCGTGTATTGCGATCTCGTATGTGATTATTTAGATTTCATTCTGCTCCCAAGAACACAGGATTTCTGCAAACCTCGTTCCTCCATCATCCATCCTGTCTCTCTCTTCCCTTATCTTTAACGATGATCTATAGGTAGCTTTCTTTTTAATCGTTTGCCTCTTATGCGCGCAGCTCGGAATAAATGTCAAGGATCTCCGCAACTCTAAAGCATTGCAGAACTGATGATAATAGAGGGGAAAAGGAAACAGGTTTCACCTGGGCCACTGCGCCCTCAGCTTTGGCATTCTCCAAACAGCAGGCACAGCAGGCAACCGGGGCTTTTCCAAGGGGAAAAGATCAGGGAAGTGGCCTGTTTGTCTATAGGTATGTTCACGTAAACCCCAAGCCCTGGAGAAGCTGCGCGGCCACAGAATCTTCCTCGCTGCTCCCCCCACCCCCGCCAGTGGATAGGGGGGGGGGGGGGGCAAGAAAACGCCTCAGAAGCGGCGGCAGGGAAAGGAGCCGGGAAGGCAGAGTGGAAGAGAGGTGGTGGCCTCCAAAGCCTCTGCAGGTAGATCAGACAAGTGGGCCGGGAGCTTGCTCCCGCGCACCCCACCCCGCCGCACCCCTCGGCCGCCCGGGCCAGGCCTTCCCGAACCCGCCGCTCCGCAGGCTCCCCGAGAGGCAAGCCGCGGGACCGGGAGCTGAAGTTACCTTGAAGCTCCTGGGGAAGAATCGAAGATGATCTGTGGCTGCACCGGGAGGGCGGCAGGCTAGGGGCCGCGGCGGGGGCGGGCG